GCCCCAGTGCATGCAATAAGTCTTGGGAGGGAAAGGGGTGTGGAGAAAGGCAGCGCAGAGCAGGCGGCACTGCCTCCCTCACCCTGACCGAACAACCGATCGCACTGATAGCCCCTACTTTCATCCCACAGAACAGCTGAGCTTATCACAAACCGTACCATGTGCAGCAAGGAGCCCCTGGTGTTTTCACACCCTTTTTCCTTATCACCTGCCCAAGCCCACACCCTGTGTGCCCAGAGCGGAGTGACCCATGGGCTGACAGAGAAGGAGGAGCAGCAGCATGGTGCTTCCTGAGGTCGTGGTTGGAGATAGAGCCTCATAAAGTCTGCGACAGCTGTGCCAAATGTGACCTGTTCCATTACTGAATTCTGTGCTGCTGTTTTGCTTTTGCACTTAATATTGGTAATTATGCAATTTCTAGTCAACTTCCCTGTCATAACCAGGGCAGCAACGCTGACAAAACAGGCTTTAAATAAGCTCTTGTCAAAGTAACAGCTATTTTTGTTTGCCCTATTTAGCACTGTGTTTAAGGTCTACAGTGGAAATCTCAGGCAATTTTAAATACATGGTGCAGTTATTTCATCATCATCACAGCATTCAAAACCCCTGAAGCCTACAAAATACAAATGTTTCAGCAGAACCTTCTGGTGGTTCCACCTGTACACAAAGATTGTAGTTTTTGCCATAGCTCATTGAGACTCAGGAAGCACAGACAGGCTTTCAGGTTCCTCATCTCCTCTTCAGGCTGCAGGAAACATTGAACCATAGAATCGCAGAATGGTTTGGGTTGGAGGGGGCATTAAAGAGAGCCTAGATCCACCCCTGTGCCATGGGCAGAGCTGCCACCCCCCAGAGCAGGCTGCCCAAGGCCCCATCCAACCTGCCCTTGAGAACCTTCAGGGATGGGCACCACAGCTTCTCTGGGCAGCTGTGCCAGTGCCTCACCAACCTCTGAGTAAAGAATTTATTCCTAACATCTAACCTAAATCTCCCTTCTTCTAGTTTAAAGCCATTCCCCTTTATCCTGTCTCTAACAGATGGTGTAAAAAGTTGGTTTACCTCCTTGTGTGCTCCCTTGAAGTACAGGAAGATCACAGTGAGGTCTCCCTGGAGCCTTCTCTAAACAAAACAAGACCTGCTCCCTCTGCCTGTCTTCATAGGAGAGGTATTCCAGCCCTCTGATTGTCTTCGTGGCCATCCTCTGGACCATTTCTACCTGTTCCAGGTCCTTCTTGTGCTGAGGGGCCCAGATATGGATGCAGTATTGGACAGGAAAGATCTGATATCCTGATATTTTCCAACTCCAAGACCCCTGGATGGTTGTCAAGGGGAAATAAAAGACTGAAAACATGAATGCAAGACTTAGTAGTGATGCTGTTCCTCCAGTGACAGGAGCAATTCTTCACACCATAATCCTTCACCTAAAGCACTGAGAAGGGACAACTCCGCGGCCTCATTTGACCGTGCAGCCAAGTGGACAAGGCACATGGCAAAATGCTGAAGGGAAGCCAGACTGATGGTGCCCTCGGTGACCATCACTGAGGAGTGCTTCCTTCAGGAAACAGAGACGTCGGCTGAGCACAAAAGGCTTGCAGAGTAACACGTGAGAGAAGCCGTGCACCGGTTTATTTAGGCTATTCCTTTTTTTTTGTTCCTGTCTCCAGTCTATGGACTTCCTAGCAGGTCTTTTCTTTGGACATTTGTGATGTGCTTCCAGAGAGTTTTCTGGAGCCGTGCTAAAGGCTCATACAGGTCATTTTAAATACACTGGTGAGAAGGTAAATGGTTCAGGAGAACCGTTGCTAACTTTATATGAAGGAGAATAGCATCCAGGGGTCCTGTGTTTGGAGCAACACCCTTGCCTTCCCTTCCTTCTCATCTCTACCAGCGGATACTGGAGAGACAGCCAAAGAAAACACAACACATGGGAAATAGTCTGCAAACCCAAAACAAAAGAGATTTTCTTTTATCAGCTGTTTCCTGTTGTCAAAGAATAAATTATTGCTTCAACTGTGTGGATTTTTTTAGTGCAGTGTGCAAAAAATGTGGTAAGTTATCGACTTTTTAAATGGAATAGAATTTTATTCAATGTATTAAAATAATCCTGCTATTAAAATCATAGATTCTACATCTACTTGCCCCTGCTGCACTCCCTCTCTTCTCTGGTGCATGGGATAAAAAATACAAGTTAGTAGCTTAGCAGTTTAGGCCAAAAAAAGAAGAAGCTTTAAATGATCTTACAGCAGTGACACATGGCTCATTGCACTGAGCTTGTTCTGCTTTGCTGCCAGGACCAGTGAGGATGCAGGGTGACACACTGCACTGCCCGAAATCCTCAAATGCTGTGCACTGTGTGCTCCTGCAGGACTGGTCACCCCCAGCTCAGGGGGTGAGCTAACAAAACAAAAATAGCCTGTTTTCTGATAGTGCAGGCCTCTGCTCATGCAGGCAACACTCTGGCATCCCAGATAAGATGTACATGGCCTCCTCTGGCTGCGCCGGCTGCGTCAGGACAGGAGGAAGGGCTCTGCAGTGCTTTGCCTTATATGCTGGTGCTGCCTTCTGTGCCTTTCGCTGGGACATTATCAGTGCATTCAGACAGATGTGATGAAACCCGACTGCTGGGATGAGGGCTGTGAAGCACGGCGTGCTTGTCTTTTTCATTGCAGTGCTGTGAGGAGCGAGAGCTCCTTGGGACTGGAGCACATCCCATGCAGGTCCTGGCTTCTGGAGCACTTGCAGGGGTGCAGGCATATGGGTTAATGATGGAATCATAGAAAACCTCAACTTGTAAGGCTTCCTCAAGAATCACCGATCTAGCTCCTGGCAGGCAGACTGCCATGCTCATCTGTTCTTGCGTCTATGTGACTATGGTGCTTGGGTACAGATACCCCACCCAACCTCTCTGCCTGGGCAAAGGCAATTCCCAGGCTGCTGGCTCATTTCCTAGTGAGAAATGGTACAGGCCAGTTACATGAGCATATAATAAGTATATTCCAGAGTCAGAAAAACTGTGGGCAACCAGGGATAGACATTGCATTCCTCCAGTAATCAGGTCAGTCCTGAACCCTGGGATTATGTGCTCTACCTCCAGAAATGGTACTAATTAGAAAACACTCCAGTAGGCAGAATTTCCTGCTTCTCTGGCAGCTCCTCCTCTGTGCTTCACTGGGCATGGTGAGAGCAGATGCCAGCATGGTGTATCCTTGTGGGACTGCTGTGCCTTCATTGTGAGTACACTGGAAGGTGCCACAGCTCTGCAAAGTACGTCCCACCTGTGCTGCTCAGCGGCTGTGTCTTGGTTCAGAGCCTGCTGTGGATCATGCTGCAGTTCAGAGCTGCAGAATATCCTGGACAAGATGTTTTAATGTATGCTGTCGCTTGGATTTAGCCAGGGATTTAGCATATGTTTGCATATATGATTTTAAATTCCAGAGTAAATAAGGCATAGATATGAGCTGATAGCCATGTTCTAGGATAAAATATGACTAGAAACACTGGTCGTTGTAAGATTTGACAATTACATATTCTGGCAAGCACGAGTAAGGACACAGCCAACCTGCCTGAAGTGCTAGCAGCAGATAAACCTGGATCAGGCCCTTGCTTCTGGAGCGTTTACAAAGCAGTAAGCTATTTATGTGGAACAACTTACTCCTCATCACAAAAAACAAGCAACCAAATCTCTTTGGTGATGGGCATCACATGCTGTTTTCTGCCAAATCTTTGGGGGTTGGAATACCAATGTGTGTGGCTCCAGTGGCATTAAATAAACAGAGCTGTGCCTGTTCATACCACACACGTGGGCCCACCAATCCACAGGGCTGCAACCCCAGTGCTCCTTGCAATACATGTAGCCAGGTAAATATGCAGGAAAGCTCTTTGTAGGCACAATGCATCAACGGCCCATGGGTAAAGGAGCTTTAACTAGATCAACTAAATAAGTCAACTTTCTCCCTTCCTTCCCTAACTCAGCCATGATGCTTCCTTCTCTTGTTGTGCCTGAAATCCCCATGTTGAAAAAGGAGTCTCTTGTAAAATACTTACGAATTTTGTATATGTTATTTTTAGGTTTTTTTCCCCCGGGAGACGCGTCATCAATTGTGTGGACCCACATAAAACATTCCAGGGAGCAGAAAGCTGAAGATGAGAATGAGTCTTGAGATATTAGATGCGTTGATCATATTTATCACTTCACAGCACAGAGAAGAAATGCTAAGTAACAATTCTTATTTTCATAATAAGGGAATGTCTAGACTCTTCTTTCTAGTCTTGAATCTAATAATATAACATCAGCTGCTTGTTCTTGGCAGTTAAGTCCTCCCCTGAAAACACATATTTATAGCTCTGTAATCTCCTAAAAAACAGCGGGACAAACAAGTTATCAAATCAGCCTGAATGCTGTGGTTTTAACTGGGAATTCTTTCATTCAAACGAGAATACAACGTGATTTGAGGCTCTCCTGCCTTGATCAGTTCTATGTGGATGGTGCAGGACACTAGGGACACAATGTGCCCAGGATGGAGCTTGGGAAACTTGCAAAAATGTGAAGTAGGCTTTTGAGTCAAGGCTAGGATTGGCCCTAACACTCTGATGGAACTCATGGATCAGATGCCACAAAATACTTCCACTTAACTCAAATACGGGTGCTGCTGGCAGCACATAAATGATACATCTCAAGACTCTGTTCTGGGCAAGGTCAGCTTGACAAATGAACTGATTCTTCATGAAATCTAAATACTAATTAGGAAGAAAGGAAATTAATATTTCAGGCCATCTCAAATATAATATGCAAAACTTGGTATATACCAGGCAAAACTTTGAGGTCTCAGTTCTGAATTCGCAGTGGAGAGCAATTTGAGACACCTTGTCTCCTTCCCTTACCCACACCTCAGTTACTCCTAAAACATTGCTGCTCTCCCTCCTTCTTGGCAGGCAGGAAATGAAGCTCTCCTCGGCCAATGTCTTCCTTGGGTTTCCACCTCTTTTGCACATCCTTTCATCCCAATTCACCTCCACATAAGCTGAAACAAGAGAAAAAGCACAATGATCCATTAGCTCTTGGGTCAAAAACAAATATTTGGTAGCATGTTTCCAAGTTCCTCCAAGAGGCAAATAAATGCCTCACTGACTTCTCTTTTTCTCCACCATATTTACTGACTGGACAATACTTCATGGCCATTGAAAACTGGCAGTTAAGAAAGAGACAGGTCAGCTCAGCTGCTGCTTTCTACACACAATCTTGATGGCATTGGAAAGGGATGCTTTCAGATGGAAGCTTCTTTCAGCATGGAGAGGACAGGACTGGAGGGGTGAGGCCTTTTCAGCATTGGATGTGTTTTGCCAGAGGTTGTATTGCTTCTCTCTCAGTCTCATACTGTGGCTCTTTATTTTTAGTCTGGTTGTTGGTGATGGGCAATCATGATTGCAGTCTCTCAGAGTACTGCTTTAGGTGACATTGATCTGGAGAATGTTGAAACATAAGGGAAATAATTTTAAGCAGCAGCTGCAAGACATTTTTCACCCCAAAGGACACAGAAAAAGCAGCACAACTTTGAGCCATGAGAGTTCAGCTGAGGATAGGAGCCAACCCCTTCATCAGGCTGGCACAAATCCCACAAGCAGACAGATCTATGCAGTTTCTGAGCAAATAGAGTTAGTCTTGATCTGCTACCTGAAGAGTGGATTTGGGCTGGGGTTGGGTCATACTGAACTTGGCTGAGTTTGCCCTCTTGGGCTGGAATAGCCTCCCAAAGCCGTGGTGGCTCTCCTAAGCCCATAGCCTAGGTATGTGGGAGCAGCACGAAGAGCTGCAGTGCACAGGGAGCTGTAGCATCTTCCTTGGGGCTGAGATGGAGAGGTGCCACCCAAATATCCACTTACATCAGGTTTTGTACCTATCAGTCCATCCATCTCAGGGCTGTTATTTTTCAGAGGGCCAGACATATGTATTTACACACACATGTATACATCAGCATTTTCTTTAACCCAGCATTTAAAGGATGCAAGACTACTCCCAGAACTAAATCTGACATAATAAGCCATTCTCACACTCAGAAACATTAACAGCATGCATTAGAATATGCATGAAGCTGTTTGTGCTGTGGAAAGCGAAGCTTAGCCTGCACCAGTCTCTTTGCACTTTTTTGCACTTTCCCACGGGCATTTGGGCTGCACATGCATCACCCTGAACCATTGTAGGATTCTTTCCTGCTTGTTGGTATCAGCTGCAGTAGAACTTTGAGCAATGGGGTGGAATGCCAGGCAAAGGCACTGGAGCTTTACTGGCACTCAGACAACCTTGTCTCTGTCTCCCTTAAAGCAGTCAGGTCCCAGCCTGAGCTGAAGCATCTCTGTGCAAGCAAGCACAGGTTCAAAGTGCAAATAAATACATGCTTGAGGGCTCCCTGTGGGGATGGAAGGTGAGAAAAAAACAAAGGTAAAGACTTGGTAAACATACTCAGCCCGTCTGGAAGGAAGAACAGGTTTGCATGGGATGGGGAGTTGGGAGAACATATCACCACTCTGTTTTCTGAACTCTGTCAAGTCGTCTGGGCATCCAGCCTTCTTGCAGACAAAAAGGATAGCTCTCATTGAGTTGGGAAGGGGATCTATTTAATTAATATTTGTTAAGTATTTTGACTTAGGTGTAGCCTAATTCAGTCATCTCTGCTCCGAGGCTTTCACAGATGTGCAGAAGGAAGACAGTGTTAATGCCAGTGAATAAGAAGCTGCTCCTCTCATGTCAATTCTGCACTCTTCCTCTGAATCTTAGGTGGTGTCTGTATGTATATTCACACACGCACATGCACACACTCATGCATAAGTATCCGATCTCCAAATAGCAGGCAAGTAGCATCAAAAGGACAGTGAGAAACTGGGGAGGGGAGTGCTGCTGCTTTCAGTAAAATAAGGCTTCTATGGGGTGAAGAGGGGTATTTTCACTTTTCCCATACGTAGGTCCATTCAGAAAAGCATAGAAGAAGAGTGTTCATCCAACCTGAGCACATTTTTCTACAGAGGCAGATGGGTCTTGTTATGCAATTCCTTTTCCGATGGAGGCCCCAGCATGAAGACATTTGGGGACTCCAGGTCCTTTGAGGGAGAGAGAGATTTCCTGATCAGACCAACAAGGGTTCCCTGTTGCATTTGGATGTTGACTGTGAAAAGCAAAGTGAGTGAAGTTTTGCTTTGCTTGACTGAGCTTTACCATACCAGTTATTGTTTTGAGAAGTGAAGTGATACCTACTACATCTCCTGGGAAAGTGGGAAGCAGCTTGCTTTGGAAGAGACTGCTATTGCAGTGAAGTCCTCAGCACAGCTCTCTATTTTTGGCTCTATGTATTCATGTCTGCTTGAACTTCCCCTGCAATAACAGCTTTGTGATTAAATGACTGGAATAAATGCTTTCTGAGCATCTGGGGATAGGTGCAAATGTATTTTTTTATTTGTTGTCAGATAGTGGGGTAGCTATTGATTTATATATGATATTAAATACTCTGGAGCAGGGAAGTGAAATATTATTAGTATTTTAAAAGAGGAAATGGTTACCTTGTTTTCCACTTTTAAGCACCTGTGAGCAGTGCTATTCTGTTAACATTAGACCATTTGAATGCTTTGAATTATTTAGGGATTTTCAGTACAGACTGATGAAATGTAAAAGCTTTCCTAAGATAAATCAAATCTGTTAAAAAACCCTACATGTTCTTCCTTGCGATCCTTTATTGTTACTCATCTGTGGTACTTGCCTAAAGGAAACACAGTCAAGCAGGGAGTTCAATTAAGAAATCTATCTGTCTGCCTACCTATATATCTGTTTGTCTCTCGTTCTTACTCTGAGGATGATATTACAATTGCCAGACATTACATTTTTATAATCTTTATTTCAAGCTAGGCTCTCGTAAGCATCCTATTTCAGGCAGAATATATCATTATCCCTATTACAGCAGAGTGCTAGCTCTATAAAGAGACAAGAAAATGCAGTTAGCACCTGAGCGAGTCCCTATGGAGCAGAAGCAATGAGGCCTGAGGAGGGTCTCGTCCGTGTGGGTTTTCTGCTGCCAAACAGCAGCCCAGCTCTTGTAGGCACTCCTTTGGTGGAGAAGCTAAGAAGGTCATTCTTCTCTACTTTGTCCCTTATTTTTTCAAAGCCTGTAGGGACAGCATGTTGCTGAAACCTCAGCCTTCTGTCAGTGCATCTGAAAGCAAAAGGATTCTTGTGTTACCAGGGGGGACCAGTGGGTAGTTGCTCAATCTGGCTCTGCAGGCTGAGAGCCTGCTTTGTGAAGAGAAATAGCCTAAAAATGGATCGATAACCCTGGAGGAGGACAAGGAAGAGATCTGTCAAGGAACACGCTTGCCCCATTCCATTCCATTCCATTCCATTCCATTCCATTCCATCCCATCCCATCCCATCCCATCCCATCCCATCCCATCAAAACAAAGTGCAGAAAGGCCTCTGACCTCCTCAGGGACACTCTGTGACCAGTAGGAGAGGTAGGAGATGAAGCCAGGGATCTCCAGCACATTCTTTCTTCATCATACCATCCTCACTGCTCACCCCAAGGCCTCGGGAAACCTTTCTTCATCCTTCTTGGCTGTTCCCCTCTGCAGCATTTAATTCCAGAATTACTGCAACTCCTTCTAGCAGGGGTTTTCCCCCTGTTTTGTTTGTTTGTTTGTTTTTCCTTTTGGAGCTTTTCCTGTCTTTTCTAGATCTTCCTCATGGCAGCTATGATTCACCATAGAGCTTGCTTGGAAACCTTTTGCAATGTTTTATCTTTTTTGTTGCTGCAAAACAAAATGCTTCTCATACTTGTGTTCTCTGGTGATGGGTATGTTTCAAATACATCACTGATGCATTCCAAGGTGGAACAGGAGACATTTCTCTCTGCATGGCATATTAGCATTGACAGTTAGGGGCTGTAACTGCCTATCAACATGAGTGTGCCAGAGCTGTCCTCCTGGACAGTATTAATGTTCAGTAAGGCCTCTTTCATCCCTTTCAGCTTTCTCCTCAGGCCTTCAATTAGAGTTGTTCAATACTTCTTTTTTTTTTTTCTGGTAGAGAGTGGACTATCAAATACACACAGGTCTCTAAACCCAAAATGTTTGTTTTCGATGGACAACATTCACTGTTTCTCAAAGGGGGGAGAAATCACTGGAGTCAGAGCTGAGATGAACTGAATGCCTCTCAGTTTGAAATAAGAATATCTGCAAAGTTTAAACAACTTGTTTTAAGGCCCTACCTGTGCTCCTATTCCCATCATTTTTTCAAATGGGTGAGGACAGGCACAGCTGTTCAGGTTGAAGATGGGCACATTGCTATTCATGTCCTGCCCAACCTGCCCATCCGTCAGGCCCACAGCCCAAATCACCTTGTGTCAGTAACCACAGCAAACAACTTAGACCATTATACTTGGCAGAAATACGTCTTTGTCCAAGGGCTGCATGACACAGCCAGGAAGCTATACGCCACAGTGCACAGGAACCGAAGCACTGTAGATGGGATGATCAGATACTCAAGGTAACTTGGCTGTGAACAGCTCATGAAGGAAAGATGAATGCACAAATGTTCATGAAAATCGTGAAGTTGGCAATTACAAACCAAGGGATTCAAGGCAGTCGCGTGTCTCTCATTGATCACTTGTAACTGAATTATAGGGCTATGACAAGCTGAAGATTTGCTTGCTCATTCAACTCCTAAGTAGAACCTTAATGTGTTTTCATCACTGCATCAGAAACAGCAGCCAACACTAGCAGTTTCTCTAATATGTTAGCATACCATGGGCTACACAACTCTGGGAAATGTTCAGAACAAGATCTGTCCCCATTTTATCTCAAGAGCTAAAGCAGTGCAAATTTTGGCAAAACGTAGAGAAACAGTGAAAAATGTTCTGTAGGAGTAAAGAGGGAAAGAACTTTGGAATTACATTTAAAAAAACCCTTTGTGCACACGTTACCCATCCAGAGGTAAGATTTCCATCAGCTTCTCCGTGGAATTTCATTTCTTTTAAAAGTCATAATAGTACGTAATTCTTCTTCCATTATAATGCAGGCCAATATAAAGCAATGCCGAGTCACTGTGTAATATTTGAAATGTAATTTCTGCCTGTCTAGCAAGTAAGCAATTCCTCTGCAAGCAAATAACTTCTGGATCTGCACTGCACAAAAGGTCTCGGTGTGTTTTGATTCAAACTTTTCCATCTTAACCTTCCCTTTGGTTTGCAAATCAGAGATATTGATGTTTTCCATTTTCTATCTTTTCCCTTGTTTTAAAGGTACGTCAGCAGGGGAAAAAAAAAAAATAGCTCCCTTAACATATAGCGCAGCTCCATCTCTGATCCAAGTTCATTAATAAAAAATAAAGATTTGTGATTATTGCAGATGAGTGCCTAACAATATCTTGTATGTGCTACTTTTGCACGTAATTAAGAATACATTTCTCACATCTCGTTTCTTACAGATGCAAATAAAGTTCACTTCCTCCCCTCCCCAAAACATTTGGGAATATACTTTCTTTGCACGTACTTTTGCATTTTTTTTCCCCCAGTATCTTACATTCCTTTGACCCAAATACTCTCCAGAAAGACATTATGTCTAAGGTCAATGAAACAGAAAAATGAAACCCTGAGAGCAACCACAGAAAGTGCCTTTATACTCACCACTTCTTCCAGCAGCAATGGTTAAGTTTAGCAGCAATCTATTATTAAACAGACTGGGACACTTCAGTCTGGAGAGAGATGGCTGGGGCCAAGGTGGACAGCGTGCTGTACAACCACAAATGGCTGGGAAAGGCATAAACAGAAGTGCTGCTTGCTGTTCTTGACAGTGGAAGTGGATACCTGGTGAATTAATCAAGGAGGAGATTTAAAACAAATTGAAAGAAATGAACAGCGCAGTCTTGCCCACGGAAGTTGTTGCTGCGAGATACTTAGGTGGCAAAAGCATAAACAAGTTTGAAAGTTTACTGCATAAGTTCAGGGGGAAGATTGGTTAAACAGAAACATACCCTTGAATGTCGTAGAGAAGACGCAACATAATGTCTTATAACACAGCAGGGTTATTTACTATTTCTCATGTTTCTCAGGGCCCAGTATCTTGCTTAATTGTATTTTATTTTCAGTTAGCCAGGCAATAAATTTAAAACAAAGAGATGTAATTGAGGCATGGCACTGACAGCTAGAGGGGTGCTGGGAAGGCCAAAAGCAACACACAATCCAACTGTGATCGGGCAGACTGAGATCAGAAAAGACTCTTGAGGGATGGTAAAGACAACATTATGAAGACATCCTTCAGCTCGGATTGTCAGAAGCTGGAAGCCTCTGCCTGGGGAAGGATGAGCTTGAATTTGCCCTTTTCTTGCACATTTCCTGAAGCATCTGCTCATGCCAGCAGCCAGACAGCTTTCTGGATGATTTGGTCTGACCCCACTGGATGTTGCGTGGGTTTCTATCCAAATGATCAGCAGTAAAGTGGCATTTGGATCACCCTGAAAACAAAAGCGATGCTGAAAGACGGTGAAACACAGAGGTAGGTGACAGCCCTCGCCCAGCGCAGCTGGTTTGCAGGCTGGGAAGGACAGCAGCACATCGCCATGTGCATCGCAAGCCTGAAGGCTCTGGTCAAGGAACTCCACAAAAATCTCAGTTTACCTTTTTTTTTTGAGCTTTTACTGGAAAGTTTTAGCTGCAGGAATTATACAAGGGTGATGAGAGTTGCTACAGCTGTGTCAAACCTTTGTGAAAAAGCTCTGTTTAGAGACATCTTTCATGTAAAATGTCTGTAAGAGACATTAAACTTATCCCAGTGCTCCAAAAAAAGGGCAGGCCATGTATTCTTTAGGGTTTGGACTGCTCCATGCTGCAGAGACTGAGCAGAGTGTTGTTTTCAGGGGTGTTGCTGTGGGAAAAAAAGAGCAAAGGTGTACCAGGAATAGCAGAGCCAACCAGCAGAAGAATGTTGCATGTTTTTGGCAGATGCCAGAGCTTTCAGCCAAGGTGCTGACCAGAAGAGGCTTGGAGTGCAGGACAAGGAGATAAGCTGTATTTTCAGTGCTATTCCTCCTGTGCTTAAGGAAGCTGGGTTTCATGCAGCCTTCGCAAAATTCAGGAGAGATGCCTGATTGCATTGTGAGAAGAGCCTGAATTCCTGTTAACCATGCAGCCTAGAGGGATAGAAAAGCATTTCAGAGAAACCACGGAGGTGGGTGAGGTGGCCCCAGCCAGTTGCATGAAATACACAGTGTGCTGACTGCAAGGAGATCTGCCTTTTGTTTCACAGTGCCTGAGCTTCCAGTGGCAAAAGGGAGATGCTCAGCATCAAGTTGCAATAAGAAATACTGTTTTGCAAGCAAAGTGGCGTTTGTGCATTTTTTAACGCACAAATTCCTGCATGCACCACTGCAGATTGCAGTATAGCAAATGCATCTCACAGAGGTGAGGAAGGGAGTGCTTAAAAAAGGTAACCCCCGAAAAGCGGTGGTTTCAGGAGCTCTGCCGTGTGAGACATATTTTTTTCCCCTGCAAACAAAAAGGGAAAAAAAAAAGCCCTCCTTGGCTTTGTAACTGAGGCAGTCACTGTCTCTCTACTTCTGGGTTTCTTGTCTTTCCTTCTCATGTATAATGGGAAAGCATGTTAGGCCCAGAGCTCAGACGTGGGAGTCTGTGAGAGCGGCAGCTCCAAGACGGTAAGCGGAGGTGACAAGTTCCTGGCAATATTAAACATTAACACTGAATATTTTGTTGGTATTTAACTCCAGGACTTTTCATGTTCCCGAGCAGAGGCAGAACATCCCCTCACCCCCTCTGCTTTGTTCTTCCCTCCTGTGCTTTGTACGTGCAGCAGGCAGGGATGTGAGGTGCCAGGGATGCGAGGCTGAGATGGCTTCATACACACAGAGAGAGCGGGTGAGCTGATGGGTGGGGGCAGGATCTCATTCTGTGCTATGCTCACACTGGGACTGGGAGATGGGGAATACTCTGTGTATCAGGTGGGCATGAGGTGCTGAGCTCGCTTTCTGCTGTCTGATGGCATCTGGGGAGCCAGTTGGTGTGTGTCAAAGGAGAAAGATACATGCAAATCTCAACTGACAGGATTTCCAACTGCAAGTGGGAAACAAGGATGGCCTGAGTAGCACCGCATTGCTTACTCACCAAAATTCACAGGCACCTGGGGACCTGGAGACACACAGATCTGGGTCTTTTTACAAGTCTTATGAGGACTGAGATTGTTCATTATGGAGAAGAGGAGGCTCAGGGGAGACAGCTTTGGGACATGAGGGGATGGCCTTAAGTTTTGCCAGAGGAGATTCAGGTTGGATATGAGGAAGAATTTCTTCTCAGAAAGAGCAGTGAGGCAGTGGCACAGGCTGCCCAGGGAGGTGGTGCAGTCACCGTCCCTGGAGGTGTTGAAGGACCGTGTGGATGTGGCACTGAGGGACGTGGGCAGTGGGCATGGTGGGGTGGGTTGGTGGTTGGACTAGGTGATCTTAGAGGGCTTTTCCAGCTTTAATGATTCTATGATCCTATGTCTCTACCTCATCTGCTCCCTGGCTGCAAAAGAAACCTCTGTCCTCTGATATCCTTCCTGCAGGGCCTGCT